ATGTTATTGAAATTGTGAACCTGGGGGGCAGCTAGGTGGTACAGTAGATAGAACTCCAGCCTTGGAGTCAGGAGGACCTGAGTTCAAATATGGTCTCAGACACTTGATACTTACTAGCTGTGGGACCCTCAGCAAGTCACTTAACCCCAATTGCCTCACCAAAAAAAAAAAAAAAAAGAAATCGTGAACTTGGGAACTGGAAGGGTAGTGGTGCCCATGACATTAATTGGGAAACCCAGAAGAAGAGGATTTTATCTAGAGGGGAGGGTTGGACTGGGGGGGGGGGCAGTGCCTAGCCCCCATTTCTATTAAACAACTTAACATTAACTTTTATGAAGGGAATTCAAAGGTATAGCAAGAACAAGCATTTTCCCCTCAAACCTTGGGGGCATGCTACCCCCTATACCACCTTGGACTGGGGAGGATGGGGTTGGGCTCAGATTAGTGAAGTTCCTAGCATTGGTTCCACTGATTTCACAGTAGCATGAATCCTCATCTGTGTTGCTTTGGATAGATGGAGAATCTAAGGGTCCTTACAAAGATCATTCCTTGCTCCTTGAGGCATCAATACTAGGAAGGCTATGAGACCCAGGCTAGACTCTAACTCCTAGATTCCTGTGCCTTGTTCTCCCAATCTTATGAAATTTCTAAGTTTTGGAGACTCGACTCCCTTTCCTGAATGCCATGAGGGAAGAAGTCATGGGAATGAGGCAAAGAGGAGTCTAATGCTGACTCAGGCCTTTTTGAAGACAACAACTGTGGCAGCTACATAGCCAAACATGATTAGCCCCCCTGAACCAGATACAGAATGCCTATTCATGCTTCATAGAGTCTCCAAGGCACTTTTCTTGCATGTGTCAACTGGACCAAACCAGCCTCTAACTGTGGATGGCTGGAGCCAAACAGAGCAGGCTAGAGACAGGAGAGTCAGGAATCCAGCAGAATTTTAATTTCAAAGTGATGAAAATGGCTTGCAGGCAAGGAGAGAAGTTGGATGCTGTGTGCTAGGGCCCCAGGCAGTGTGGGGAGATCTCAATACATATAGCAATGGCTGGGCAGTGAGCTATAGCCCTGACAATGAGACAAGTTGTATTCATAGCAGGAGTTCATGATCTGGAGCACGGGTACTTGTCCAAGCTTGTCCAGTGCTTGTCCGAGCTCAGAGAACACCTGGTGCTGGTCCAAGCAATACAGTAACTGTGTGATTTTGGCAGAGGGTGAGATCATCCAGAGGGTGAGCACAGAGGATTGCTGTTAAGCCAAGCTCAGGGCACAGCTTGCATGCTGGCCTTAGCTCTGGAAAACAGGCTGTCTCCTAATATCTTGACACATGACTGTCCTGGAACACATTTTCCAGGATCCCCAAGCAGGGAAATTATGTCACCTGAGCAAACAGATGGAGGCAATTCATGTGCCAGACTCCCATGACATGCCTTCATTTTCCTGACCCCTTTCATGACTCCTCAAATACCCCTTTACTCTAGGAGGTCTTTCCTGGTCCCCTCAGAGTGCCTTCCATCTACTCGGTGTATGTCTTGTGCCTGCTTAGTTGTATACATGCTCCCTCCCCATTAGAATGTAAGTGCCTTGAGGGCAGGGATTGTGTTTTTTGCCTTTATTTGTATTTCCAGTGCTTGGCACAGTGCCTGGTCCATAATAGGTGCTTAATAAATGCTTATTGATTCCCAGTGTGACCCCTAGCAAATTGTGTAAGAGTTCTTGTCCCTAACAGGATAAAAGTCCCTTCCAGCTTTAAACTAATGATTCTATGATGGCAGATCATCACCCTGGCACTGGGCGGCAGTTGTAACCTAAAGAAGTTCCCTTTTCTCAAAGTTTATGACTCCTAATAGGAAAGCTCAGCTAATCTTTTGGGTAAAACATTGCACCAATTCCTAGGAGCATAGCCTCCTTAGAGGAAGAGTCTCATTTAATGAGACAAATTTAATTACGCGCAAAATTTGAATTAAACGCTGTTAAGCAATTGCTGTTGGCTTTAGTACTCAGCTACTGACTTTGGTTGGTTGCTGGTGGGACCTCTCATAGCTGCCCTGAATTTCCTGAACTCATCAAGTTACCTGAACACATCTACCTTGGAGTAACCATCCATCTAATATAAAGAAAGAATAGATTTAAAAGAAACGCAGAGTTTTCATGTGCTTACAGACACATGATGGTTGAGAAGGAGAGGGGGCAGCCACCCTTCACCCCACTTAGCTATTCACAGAAGTCCTTGCCTCACTTGATGACAGGAAGGAAAAGATCCCGAAAGAATGGAAAGTTGTTGTTTTTATATATACACTCACTTCTGCCTCAGGACCTCCTCAATTATCTGCTTTTCTGGCTATGGAGTCAGTTAGAAAACATGCCCAGTCACTCATGGCTAGAAGCAGGCTACCAACATTTCACATGCTGGATGGGAACCAAACAGGAAATGTCTGTGCATGCTCTGAATCACCCATCAGGAAGGGCAAAGACAACCATGCTCATGATAATGAAATGACAGACATTATAAAATTGAAGTTAAGCGGGAATGTAGCCAAAGAAAGAAAACTGTGCTAAGTAATAATCACTGTTAGAAGTCTTCTAATGGGTTAAATGACCATATAGCAAGGGAAAAGATTCCTGTTCAGGCATAAGTTGGACTAGATATGAGGTTTGTGAGGTTTCTTTCCAACTCTGCAAAGAATGTCCTTTCTGGGGCAGCTAGGTGGCTCAGTGGATAGAGCTCCAGCCTCAGAGTCAGAAGGACCTGAGTTCAAATATGACATCAGACACTTGACACTTACTAGCTGTGTGACCCTGGGCAAGGCACTTAACCCCGATTGCCTTGCTAAAAAAAGAAGAAGAAAAAAAAAGAATGGCCTTTCTGCAGAGACTCCCTTCTAAAGTGTATCCCAAGAAGTAATTCAGCCTTTGCTTGCAGGGGTGGTGCAGGTCTGGGTCCCTCTGGCCAGTGCCTCCATCACAAAAACATTCCATTGTGGAGAGTGTAGTATATAAAGCCATGGTCTAGGCATCAGGAGACCTAGGTCCTGGGTCTCAGCTCTGCCACTCAGTTTCTGTGTGATCTTGGGCAAAACTCTTCCTACTCTGAGCCTTTAATTTCTTCCTCTGTAAAATGAAGGGATTGGATTAGACGAACTCTAAGGTACTTTTCAGTTATGGCATTCAATGCATCTATTACAACTTTGCACCTCTGAGAGCCAGTGCGTCTGGGGCAAAACAGCCTCTCTGAGCAGCCTGAAGAATGGAGAGGGCCACAGAAATTGAGGTAGCTGGCACAAAAGGAGGAAGAACCAGGGCTGGAGTCCCTTGGGAGGTTTCTGTAAAGTTGCAGTTCCAGAAATGGCTGCAGCCTAGGGAGGGCAGCAGCTACCCATCAACTGGCAGAGGCTGATTGAAGTGCAGGGCTTCTGGCTGCGTTTAATGGGAGCATCTTTGCGGGGGGCCTCTGACTGCAGCTGGCCTCTGCTCTGTTTTCTCCCCTGTGCAGAAATGGCCAAATTCTTCATTTCCCAGAATACAGTGTGAGATTAATTTTAGGCAAGGGTCAAAGCAGGTTTCTTTACACTTTTTTTCCTCTGCCTGCCTGAGCCCAGGAGCAAGGCCACCATTCTTGGTGAGGATAGACCAGCTTGTCAGATGTGCCCTGTCCCTCCTCTTCCAGTGGCCCTCTGGAAGCCTAGTGGTCTTGAATCTCTGGCCAGTCAGTCACCTTTTCACCCACATTCCTATTCCTAATTTGGAAATGATCAGTCTTTCCAAGCTTCCCTCTTCTGCAGAAGGAAATAGAATAATAGAATGAGAGAATGTCAGGGCCAAAAGTCACCCTGAGAAGAAAGAGGAGGGGGAGAAATCACTGTATATTTATTCTGTACATATATAATATACACGCATATGTATATTTATGTGATATGTACACATATACACACATATATACACACTATACCATAGTATGTGTGTATGTATGTATGTATATGTATTGCCACTAAGTGGCATGGTGAATAGGGTGCTGAGGTTGGAATCAGGAAGACCTGAGTCCAAATCTGGCCTCAGACACTTACTAGCTGCATATCCCTGGACAAGTAATTTCACCTCTGTTTGCCTCATTTTCCTCACCTGAAAAATAAGGATAATAGCACCTATCTCCAAGGGCTGTTGTGAAGATCAAATGAGATAATGTTTGCAAAGTGCTTAGCACAGCGCCTGGCACCTAGCAGGCACTATGTAAATGTTAGCTATTACATAATACGTATGTATATTATACGTGCTCATGCAAACTTACACCTACTTATCTGTGACCATGTAATACGCAGGTTTCTGAGGACAGAGACTGTCCCCCTTTTGTATTTGTATCTGGAGCACAGAGCCTGGCACACAGTAGGTGCTTCTTGATTTGTGGCCTCTGTGTCTTTGTTTTTGCAGTGCCCTATAACTAGGATGCCCTTTCCCTTAGCTCTGCCAGCTGAGATTCTTCCCATCTTCAAGGCCTAGACCAAATGCTGCATCCTGCCTAAAGTCTTCCCTGATTTCTCCAACCAGTTGGAAGTTTTTCCACCTCTGAATTCTCCCAGAACTTCTTTCGTATAGCTCTATGCACTTGTTATATATTTGTTCTGTGGTAATTGGTAGATATGCAATTTTTCTTCTGCTAGACTGTAAGCCCCATGAGGTCAGAAACCACATAGCTTATGTATTGATGTAACCAGGCATTCTGATGGACTCAGACTGATTCCCCTGAGGGCAGGGGAAAGGGTTTGAAACCATAACTGGGAATCCTGAGAGTTGCAGTCCTATGAGTATCATGTCCCTTCCTGGCATAGACTGGGTCTTTCTTGAGGACTGGGAATGGAGGCAGAATTCCACTGAATTAGGAGCTTTTGAATCACTCCAGAAAAGAGTAGAGAATATGGATATGATGGTACAGAGAGAGTGGAGATGGAGCTGAGAAGTGAGTATTCTTGTAGCCCTCTCCCTCTTCTATACTCCCCTAATACCTCGTGGGACACCACCATCCTCCTAGTCACTCATGCCCAGAACCTGGACTCCTCACTCTCTCACCTACTCCCATATCCAGTCTATTGCCCAGTCTTGCCCATTGTAACTTCATGGCTGTTCCCATATATGCCCTCTTCTGTCCTGTGACACTGCCACTACCCTACGAGGTACAGGCCCCCATCACCTCATTAATAGACCATTGCAAAGCTTTCTTCTATCTTTGGTTGGTTTCCCTGCCTAGCCTCTCCTTGGCCCTCGCAATGATCTTCCCAACGCACAGGTCTAATCATCTCCAGGTGATGGAGAGCCCATCACCTCTATGATCAAATCTATAGAATGATCTGTTTGGTTTTTAAAATACTTCAAAATCTTCTTCCTTCTCTTTCCAGTCTTTTTATACCTTCCTCCTCTCCATGTATTCTATGATCCAGAATACTGGCCTCCTGGCTTTTTTTTTTTTAAAGGCAATTGGGGTTAAGTGACTTGCCCAGGGTCACACAGCTAATAAGCGTCAAGTGTTTGGTCTGAGGTCAGATTTGAACTCAGGTCCTCCTAACTTCGGGCCTGGTGCTCTGTCCACTGCACCACCCAGCTGCCCCTGTTTCTGGCTTTTTCTCACACAAGACACTCCATTTCCTAGCTTTCTGCATTTTCACTAGCTGCCCCTCATGCCTAGAATTCTCTCCCTCTTCAATCCCCCCCCTTCCTGGCTTCCTTTGAGTCTCAACTAAAATCCCATTTTCTTCAAGATTTCCCCAGTGCCCTGGAATGCTAGAGCATTATCACCAGTTTATCCTGTTTGCTTCTTGTTTGCACATAGTTGTTTGAATGTTGTTTCCTCAATTAGAATGTAAGCTCCTTGAGGGCAGGGGCTGTTTTTGTGTTTCTCTGTATCCCCAGGGCTTGCCACAGTGTTTGGCACATAGGAGGCACTTAATAAGGGCTTGTTGACTTAGAGTAGGCAAACTGGAGGCAACTCCATCTATCGTTTTACACTGCGGACCCCGATACCAGGAACTCTCCTGTGAGCAATGCTTCCACTCAATGGAGCAAACTTGGACTGAAGGTGCTCATTGCAATCGCTCCTTTAGAAACTGAGGAACAGCTATGAAGAGTTTTACTCCTCTCCCTCTCAACTTTCTCCATTTGCTTTCTGATGCTAGAAGGCAGTTAACATGAGTTTTCTCAATAGTCTAATCAAAAAACCCTGTGATTGAGCATGACTGTCTTGCACTGAATATCTGTATATTCATTCTACACCAGGGAAGGGCAATGGAGGACAACAGTATATAGCTGGAAATTCATGGAATTTAATCAGGCTGGAGGTCTAGATCTCTGTTGAAAATGCACCCCCCCCCCAACTGTTTCATGCATAGTATTGATGGGTTATGGGCTCAAGCTGAGACTTTTGACCTTCACCCCAAAAAGAATTTAGGTCCCATTTGTTTACTGGCCCCAGAAAACCCTTCAACTTTCTTTGAACTCACCTAGTCAAGGAAGTCTCAAGCAGTTGCCTGTGGCTATAATCCACTCAACTGGCCTTTCCTTATCTCTTATTCTTTTACTGGCTCTTCCTTATCCCATGCCCTATCTCCTTTTGATACCCTAATGAAGCCTAGTGCTCTATTGTCTATAACTCTGGGTTATATTTTCCATCCCTGATCGTATCCAGATCCTATTCAACCTCTTCCTTCCCTATCTTCCAGTTCTTCGTTACCCTTATAAAGCCTAGCCCTTCACTGTCCATTCCAGGATGACCCCATTCAACCTCCTAGACACTCCCATTGGGATTCTCCCTAAACTCCTCCCCCAGTCACCTCAGCTTCAAGATCTTCCTCCTAGCCCCTCCTCCCATCACCCCAAATTACTTGGCTGTATATAAGATCTATCCTGGCCCCTATTTAAGCACTGAGACTTCCTCATGCCCACTCGTCCTTACGAGCATCACTAATGTTCAGATTCCTTAAGAGTCTGGCCTGTATGTTTCTTCTGTAATAAACCTTGTCTTTGGCTGGAAAAAGACTTGGGTCGAATTCATTTGGTCAGAACCCAAGTGTCGTGATTTCAGGGTCCCAGCACCCCTAGCACCTATACCTCAGTAGTATGGTGAGAGGATTATGTAGTGATGATTTTTATTAATAATTTTTATTTATAAGGTCTTAAAACAGGAGAGAGAGAATAGGAGGGCAGGAGGGAGAAAGACAGAGAGGGAGTGTGTGTGTGGGGAGAGAGAGAGAGAGAGAGAGAGAGAGAGAGAGAGAGAGAGAGAGAGAGAGAGAGAGAGAGAGAGAGAGAGAGAGAGAAACTAGGATCAATTAATCCTCAGTCTATGACCCAGCTATGTTGCTATGTTGCAACTAAAGCCAGGTGTACATTTTCCTTCTTCAGAAGAGGGATGGGGTAAAAGTGGAGACCGGAGGGAAGGTCATTCTTTTTGGTCTCCAAGGGAAGACTATGAGACGAGAAATATATGGTCTATTAAGAATTAACTCTTTCTCTTTCCTATTGAGAGGAGGGAGTAAAAAAAAGAGTGAATGCCCAGATAAACTTGTTCTACAGCACATTTATGATACCTGCTGTATACATTTGTAGACCTTCCTACCCTCCCAGGACCTCACACAGGGGCTTTGCACACAGTAGGTACTTAATAACTATTTGTTGAACAGATGAACAGGTGAATCAGTGAATAGAACAAGGACTGAATGAATGTGTTTCTTTTGTTTGCTCTTAAGATCCTGGGAATTGGCACTCGAAAGGGAGACTTTTTTGGGAGACCATCAGTACCCTGGGAAATGGCATACTGTAGCTTCCAGATCAAGGTGTCAAGGCTCTTAGACTCCCCCAGTTTGGGGGGAATTACATGTGGGGATGGACATAAAGTAAACAGAAAAGGAATGAGTGGTTTTTGCTTTTTTTAATAAAAAATAATTCCTTTTCTAAATGAACTTTACAAATGATACCAGACATAAACCCTGTAGCATTGGGCAGTGCAATCTCAGGTCCCTCAGAAGTACAAGGTAGACTCCACTAAATATCAATAAATAAACAGCCATTGTAACACGACATTGTAACAGCTCAAACTTCTTATTTAAACTATATAAGTACTGCATTATAAGCGTGTAAGCATGAGCACAGAAGACAAAACACCAGATTTTGCAGATGACTCCTGTTTTCAGTGTGTATTATTACATCCTAATGTGAGCTTTCAGCTTTTTTTTGGGGGGGAGGGGCAGAGGGGTGTTCTGGTCCTGTGAGATCATCAGTATGGGCAGCTGCCAATGTGGAAACCTCATTGCATTGATGCAGGTTAGCAAACTGTTTTCTGGCACACTGAAAAGTTTAGTGATTTGCGCAGTTTCACACACCCAATATATATCAGAGGCTAGACTTGAACCCGGGTTTTTCTGACTGCCAGGCTGATTCTCTATACCCCATTCTGCATCTTGATAGAAACTAAGAAAAAATCATAGTATCATAGATTTAGAGCTGTAAAGAATTTTGGAGATCATCTAGTTTAATCCTGTCTTCACCCCATCTTACAGACGAAGAAATGGAGGCTGAAAGAGGTTAAATGATGTAGCACATGGAGTGCCAGACTTCAAGACAAGAAGTCCTGAATTCAGATCCTGCTTCAGCCAATTACTACCAGTGTGATCTTAGTTAAGTCACCTCTCTAAGTCTCAGTTTCCTCACCTGTAAAATGAGATAATAATGGCATCAACCTTGCAGGATTGTTTTTTAAGGATTGTGTGAGATAACATATAAATTGCCTTGCAAATCTTAAAGCACAGTATAAATGGCAGCTAGCCATTATGAGGGAGAACCAGGTCCTCTGACTAAAAATTCACCCACTCTATCACTCTTGCACGTAGTCATAGCTTTACTGGAACTATGGACTTAGATTTCAGTCTGGGTTCTACTGCTTATTTATTACCAGTGTGACACAGGGCAAATCTGAGTCTCAGTTTCCTCATCTGTAAAATGATAGAGTTGGATTAGATGACCACAGTCCCTTTCAGCTCTAAATCTACAGTCCTATGTTTCTTTGTGGGAGGCATTGCTACAAAACCATGTCTCAGCTCCAGGCTCTGGCTATCCCCCATGCCAGCAATGTTCTCCCTTCTTATCTCTGCTTCCCCACTTGCTTTTAAATTCCAGTTAAAATCCCACCTCCTACAGGAAACCTTTTCCAATCCCCATCAATTTTAGTGTCTTCCCTCTGTTGATTATCTCCCATTTATCCTGTACATAGCTTCTTTTTATATTGTTATTTGCATGTTATCTTCCCTATGTGAGCAGGGAACTGGCATATGCCTTTCTTTAAATCCCCGGCACTTAGCACACTGCCTGGCACATAGCAGGCATTTAATAATGCTCATTGACTGACTGAAAGGAATATAGTATAATATGATAGGATTTTTTTAAAAAAACAAACAGACTAGTGCTAATACACTCAAGGAGATTGTTGTCCCTGTTAAATTGGCTCCTTGGAAGGTCACACAGCTATTGCAGTGAGACTACCATTGTTCAGTATATCATGGGGACTTATCTGGAATGCCCTTCTGAGCTGATGGTACTTTGGGATCCCTTCAAGGGTGACAAATCTTCATTCCTTGAGAGTCAGGCTGGTAGAGTAGACAGCATGCTGGACTTAGAGGTCAGGAAGACTGGAGTTCAAATTCTGCTTCTGACATTTATAGTTGCATGACCCTGGGCAAGACACTTAACCTCAGTTTCCTCAGGTGTAAAAGGGAATAATAATACCTTTAGTACCTTTCTCAAAGAATTTTTGTGAGATAGTATGAGTAAAGTGCTTTGCAATCTTTAAAAGGCTGAAGAGTCATCAATTATTATTATTATCCTTAGAGAATAGATTTTATTTTTGGAAATAGCCAAAAGCCATTTGGAGTCAATTCTGGGACCAAGCTAGGGAATCCTGGTATTTTATGTGGGTAAGGGGTGAGTGTGGGGTGAGAAGATTGAAAGCTACATACAATTTTAAAATAACACCACCAATTAAAATTTTTTTTTTGCGTGGCTTGTAAACTAGTTAAAGAAGATTATAGATTCCAAGCTGGAAGGGATCTTAGAGGTCATCCAGCAGCTTCCCAAGGGAAGTCTCTAAATTGTCTGAGTAATCGTAGGCTCTGGAGGATATATGTGTTGCCTCCCCAGGTGAAGCAACAGTTCTCATGCAGCTATACAAACTCCTGAATGTTTGTTTTAACTAACACTCAGTGTGGTTATATCCCAGTCATGCCCTGAGCCTGTCTTTATACATCTCAGGGCTCCTCTAGGGTTCTGCTCATCTCTCCATGTGGGTTTGAGCCCATAGAAACCAAGGCATTTAATCCACCTCCCAAATATCAGAGCCATAGTCAAAATCCTAGAACTCCTTGGAAGCCCTGAAGGGGTCAGGAGCCCGGCCAGGGCTTTGCTTGAAATGCTGTGAACTTTTAAATCTCTGTTTTCAATTCCACTCCAATTCCATTTCAACCACTCATCTGTACTACCTCCAATGAGGAATAGGGGATTTCCAAGATTTCTAGTCATGCACCTCTTCTTGAAACCCTGGAAAGTTTGGGTACTCTGGAAATCCAAGCAGTCTTTCTGCCCTCATTTATTTCTTCTTTCGAAGTCATTTTCATCTCTACACCCCACCCCTGAAGTTTCCCTTTAGGAGCGAATGTGGAAAATCTTTTTGAAAGCCTTCTTGAAGTTCTCGTTGCAGAGGGGGTAAATGAGGGGGTTCAGGGTAGAGTTGATGTAGCCCAGCCACATGGTGAACATCTGGACGTGTTCATTGCAGCATTTTGTACAATAAGCAATGACCATGAAAAAGATGAAGTATGGGATCCAGCAGAGAATGAAGGCCGCCATGATGCAGCCCAGCTGTTTGGCCGCTTTCCTCTCCCGGTTCATATGCAAACCCTTTATGTATTGCCTGGAATGGGAGCGAAGCCTTTTCCAGGTGAAGGCCAGGTAATCCAGGCCGAAGGTTGCTTTGGTCTTGGCTTGGCCTTCAGCAGGCATGTCTGTGGCTGATTCAGTGACAGCAATGGAGTCTGTTGGATGGGAGGATGCCTCAGCAAATATGGTCTCCTCAGACGTCTCACTGGCATATTGAATGGCTGGGGACAGCTCTTTGGGGTCTGGTAGGCTCTGGTGAATGGACATGTATTTTCCCGTCTCCTCTATTCCAGGCTGAGGCTGCACAATGTCAATAGGGAAGTAGTGGTCTTTGACCACCACTTCCTCATCCTCTTGTTCAAAACCTTGAGGCATTTTCTTCTCTGGATGTGACTCCTTTGCTGGGTCCCGGGCCTTCGTGGGGATGCTGTTACTAATGTGATAGTAAGTGCCTTCTGGCTTCCTTTTCAAAGTCTCCAGGTTGGCATCTTGCTCCTGTTTTGGGAGGCAGATCCTGTGCTTTTTGTGACTCATGTTGCCATCTGAGAAGGATGGGAAGGATGCGTTGATGAATTCTCGGTGCTGGCAATGCTGCTGCACAGCCCTGTAAATCCTGGAATAGAACCAGAGCATCAGCAAGGTGGGCAGGTAGAAGTTGATGATGGCAGTCATCACCTTGAACCAAGTGACCTTGTAGAAATCTGTCTCACACTTGTCCTCATTTAACTTGTCAGTTTCTGGCCAAAAGCTTCTCCATCCCAGAATGGGGATGATCCACAGGGAGGCCAGGAACCAGGTGACCAAGATGGTGACTATCGCTCTGGTCTTGGTGCGATACCGTAGGTACTTGAGGGGGTGCTGGACGGAGCGGTAGCGGTCGATGCAAAGAATGAAGACGCTAAAGATGGAGGCGGTGCTTGCCACGTAGTCCATGGAGAGCCAGAAGAGGCAGAGAGGCCGCTCTAGGGACCTAAAGAGGTACACAATATTCAAGGGCATGACGGCGGCACCCACAATCAGATCAGCTACGGAGAGGCTGACGATGTACAGGTTGCCCACAGTGTGCAGTTTTTTCTCTATCCTCACTGCATAGAGTACCAGGAGGTTGAGCCCCACTGTAACTAGGGAGATGCTGCTCAGCACCACCATTAAGGGCACCAAATGGGGCTTATTAGCAGCGTCAGCTGTCTTGTTGACCTCACACATGGTTCCTTCTTGGAGACCGGAGGAGGTGGGAGGGGTCATCGGGTGCCAGAGGAAGCTCTCACTTTTTCTGGTGACTTCCTGGAAGGAGATAGAGAGTGATATCAGCAAATGCTTTGGTGCCTATTTATAGTGTGGTACAGCTGAAGTCCTAGGATTTACACCTGTCCTCGGGCATCACCATCTGCTTTGACAGAGAGAGGTGCCTGTCTGAGAGCATCGATAACCGAGCTCACAGATGTGCAACTGGTCCTGGCTCTGCCTTGGTGAAATCTTAGGTGAATCCCATCACCTTTAGTTTCCTCAGTTATGAAATGAAGGAGAAGGGCAAACACCTACTATATGCCAGGCACTATGCTAAGCGCTTTATAAATATCATCTTATTTGATTATCTCATTTAAAGAGGTTAGATAAGACCAAGCGTTCTAATGACAACATTATATCAGGGAGTCCATGAACTTGGATGGGAAAAAAAATGACATCTTTCTTTCTTTCTTTCTTTCTTTCTTTCTTTCTTTCTTTCTTTCTTTCTTTCTTTCTTTCTTTCTTTCTTTCTTTCTTTCTTTCTTTCTTTTTTTTCTAACCCTTAATTGAAATTTAGCATTTCACTCAATTATTTAAAGACATGATTCTGAAAGGGGGTTCATAGTCTCTCTGTACCAGATTGCCTAAGTGGCCAATGGCAAAAAAAAAATGGTGAAGAGCCCCAGTCTAGATGATTTCTTAGGTCTCTTTTAGTTTTAAAATGCTGATTTTATGATGATCCTGGTTTTCCTCTCACCTTTCTAACTACTCTTTATCTGGTTTCTCTTTTGAAACTTAAACTTTTAAAGTTTTTAAAAAAGTTAACTTTTTATCCCCTAAATGTAGGTATGTCACAAGATGTAATTGCTGCCTATGCTCACTATGCTATGGAATTGATCTAGTCTCATGACTTAAACTTTTATGTAAGGTCTCCTAAATTTATTCTTTAAATTTTGATTTTTCTCCATAGTTCCTGAGCAGTCTTCTCTGACCTGTCCATCCAACCATGATCTCTTTCTTCTTTAATTTATAATGTTTGCCTATCAATTTGGATTTCTCATACACTTTATGTATTGTGGGGTAATCTTTTTATGTGCACATCTTATGATCTAACTATACTACAAGGTACTCATGGATGAGTTCTGGGGCCCATTCAGCAGAGAACCTTGCTTCATACTTTTCTCAAAAAATTGAAGCCATCATTTGTCAGCTCTCTCTCCTCCCTTTTCTTCCCTCTTTCTCTCTCTTCTCCCCTTTCTTCCCTCCCTCTTCCTCTTCTTCTCCTTCTCTCTCCCCCCTCTTTTCTCCCTTTTCTTTCCTCTTTCTCTCTCCCTCTCCCTCTTCCTTCTTCCCTCTGTCTTCCTCTTCCTCTTCTTTTCCCTTCCCCCTTTTCTCTCCACTTAAAACATTTTTCAATTTACAAGCATTCCTTTTTTTTTTTTTACCCTCTGCTCCTCCCGACTGGGAAAAAAGAGAAGCAAAACTCTTGTAAAAAAAAAAAAAGGTGCATAGTCAAGAAAAACAAATTCCCACATTGGTCATGTCCAAAAAAGTATATCTGTCTCATTCTGCATCTTGAGTCCATCATCTCTCTGTCAGGGAGGTGGCAAACATATGAGTTATTTCTTTTTCCCAATTCACGCCTCAAATCTCAATGTAATTTCTCATTTTTGGCTCCTCTCCTTCAGTCCTTGAGGAAGAGGGGTTTTTTTCCTCCTTGTCAAGGCCAATTCCTCCATTTGTACCCTTGATCCCATCCCTTTCTGTCTCTTCCAGGAGCTTACCCCTTGTGTCTCCCTACTTTTCAATTTCTCCTTATCCATCGGTTCCTTTCTTGCTGACTCTAGATATGCCCACAACTCTCCTAACCTTAAAAAGCTTTCATTTTCATCTTACCATTCCCTCAAATTACCATCCTGCATCTCTCCTTCCTTTTATGGCCAGCCCTCTAGAAAAAGCTATCTAACGATACTCATCACCTCTTCTTTCTTACCTCCTGTTATTCCTTAACCCCTTTTGGTCAGGATTTTATTTCCACCAATCAATTGCTTTCCCCGCAGAGGAAGGTCCTCAGAGGCAGCGGGGTACAGTACAAAGTGTACTGGATTTGAAGTCACAGGACCTGCGTTCAAATTTCAACTCTGTAACTCATGGGCTCGTGTGACTGATCACAAGTCATCCAGCCTCTGTGGATGACCTCAGTTCTTCATCTATAAAATCAGGAAGTTGCACTAGATGGCTTATGAGGTCTTTCCCAACTTTAAATTTTTTTTTTCTATTAACAGTGATCATTTCATTGCTAAATCCAGTGGCCTTTTCTTAATTCTCATGCATCTTGACTTTTTCTTGGCACCTCTGACACTCCTCTGAGAGAGTCTCTCTCCCTGGGTTTTCCTGACACTGCTGTCTTTTGGTTTTACTCCTACCATTTGACCAACCCTCAGGCTACTTTGCAGGATCATCATTGTGCCCATAGCAGCCCCTTAATGGGAGTGTACCCCAGGGCTACGTCCTCAATTAGACAGTCTGCAGGGACAGAATGAAGTTCGTCTTGGGGCTTGGCCCCAGAAAAAGCAGGACCAAAGGAGCTGGAAGATGGAGGGGCTTGTCACACCTTTCATCAACCTGGATGTGGCTCTCTATCCAGCCCCAATGCTCCTAGCCTTTGGAAAGAGAAGGGTAGGGAGAAAGTATGGCTGCGTGGGTCTCCTATTTCCCTTTAGGTTCCCTTTCCTAACACCTGGGCCCATCTACTCCAGTTCTAATCCTAGGTACCACTACCACAGGGTATTGTTGGCTATCAACCTAATCACAGAATCTTAGTTTCTCAGAATTGGGGAAGACCTCAGAGATTGTCTACCCATGTGGGCTTCTGCAAGAACTTCCAGAATATCTAGCTCCGATACTTCCTGAGAATGTGACCATGGGTAAGTTGACTTAACCTCTCTAGATCTCTAGGCAGCTAGGTTGCATAATGGATAGAACCTTGGACTTACGAGTCAGAAAGATCTGAGTTCGAATCCTACCCTGCCCCCTATCCCTCTTATTCATATATCATGTTTGTGATGATCTTCTTACTCCTCCTCAGTCTTAAGGAACCCATAAGGAGCAACATGTTGTGCTGAAGGCCCTGAGTGCCCCCTCATTCCCTGGTTCCTTGCTTCTTAAGTACCCACACTTGAGGACAGGGGCTAGGGACTTGGATGGCATGGAAAACCAGCAGGAGCTGTAGTTTTAAATTGCACTTGGGCCTCACCTGGCCTATAGTAGGCACATAATACTGCAACTGCTTATTGATTGATTGATCATGTGACATTGTTCTCTGCCCAACCTCCTCCTGGCAACTCATGCACACCCAGATCTTCCAAAGGGGACCCACGCATGTTGGCAACTGCTTCCCAGGAATCGCCAAGGCTACCCTCTCCCACAAAGCCTCCTCCAACGTGGTCTTTTCTGGAACCTGCAGGACTGGGACTGACTACGTAGGGAGAACTCTGTCATTCCTCCTAGGGGGAGTTGTATTTTTCATGGAAAACTCCAGAAATATGAAAAGCTTTGAAAATCCAAAGGAATGAAGTCCTGATGGTGGGATCAGAGAGCATCCCATGAACGTAGGGACGATTCTGGACACAGGTGACTTTCCAGAGTCCCTCACGGTACTTCTGGCCCTATGCGAGGGCAGATACAAGCCGCCTCCGTACTTCTAATGACCAAAAGGCATGCCATGTAACAACAACAATAACAACTGGTATTCAGTGCTTTCAGGTTTGTGAAGTACTTTACAAATATCTCATCTTATCCTCACAACAACCGCGGGGGGCAAGATGCTGTTATCATCCCCATTTTGTAGATAAGGCAACTGAGGAAGACAGAGGCTTCCCAGGGTTACCCAGCTAGCCAGTAGGCATCTGAGGCTGGATTTGACCTTGGCTCTTCTCGACTCCAAGTTTAGCCCCTCTATGCCTACAAGGAATATGCAAGAGGCAGCATTCCAGGTAGCTTTTTGACTGTTGGCAAATTATTTAAGCCCTCCCTGTCCCCGCTTCCTCAGCTATAAAATGGGGAGAATAATCATTAGACCACCTATGTCACAGGACTGTGGCAGAAACCAAAGCTCTTTGCAAACCTTAAAGGGGAGTTATTATTCTTGCTTTCTTTTTTTTCCTTGGTGAAACCTTGTCAGGGTCCTGCTACCATGGGGAGAAAAGGCTTATTAAAGGAAAACACAGAAGTTGCTACCCTGTGATACAGAGCCATCAGTGCCTAGTCCCGAGACCTCAGGCAGCAGGACACACAGCCTAACACACATGCCTTTACCAGGGACATATGCCACATAGGGGGAATACAGACAGACAACCTCTCCCTGAATGCCTATGGTGACAGTTAATGATATCTCACTGGGTTGCTAATTCTATTTTTGACAGCTCTAATTGCAACTATGAGTTCTTTATATTTAGCTGAAATCTGCCTTCACTGTAACTTCTAGACACAGTCTACACCCTCTTTCATATGACAGCTCTTCAAATGTTTGAAAACTGTTATCATTATACCCCTAATTCTTTACTAGGTTAGATACCCCCAGTTCCTTATAGGACATAATAAATTAGGTTCAGATGAAGTTCAGATTCTCAGCATATTTTATTATACCATTCTGTCATTAAGTTAGCAGGAATGTTGACTCTCTAGGGTAATGAAGCAACTCCTCCTTTTTCATTTCCTCTATTCAAGAACTGGCTTTCTTCAAGTCCCAGCTAAAATCCCACCCCCTTTCCTGAACCTCCTGAATTCCAATGCCTTTCCTCTGTTAATTATCTCCAATTTATCCTGACCATATCTTGTTTGTACACAGTTGTTTGCATGTTGTCTCCCCCTTTAGACTGTGAGCCCCCTGAGGGCAGGGACTGTCTTTTGCCTTTTTTTTTTTTTGGGCTAGGCAATGGAGTTCAGTGAGTTGCCCAGGGTCACACAGCTAGTAAGTGTCAAGTGTTTGAGGCTGGATTTGAACTCAGTTCGTCCTGACTCCAGGGCCAGTGCTCTATCCACTTCGCTACCTAGCT